GAGGCGTCATACAAAATATTTTTGGAGTCCTTCAATTATTTTACTTGATTCACGATATCTTGGGGAGCAACATGTAGCATTGTAGTCAAGAATTGGCCGAAAGAACGCTTTGTACACTTTGATAAGAAAATCTTCAGTTTTATTCTTAAACGAAAGAAAAATAAAATTTAGTATTTTTGAGGATTTTTTTATACTTATAAGATTTGGTTCTGCAGTGAAGGTCGAAATCGAGATTTTCATCCATGATTATTCCATGTTCCGAAATGTGAGATTCTACTGATTATATTGCCATTAATAATAAGATTAGGAAAATCGAAAAATTTAGAATTGATATAAAGAATACTACATTTTTGAAAGGAAAGGGTAATTTGCCTGTCATATAGCCAGCTAGCTGTTCTGTTAAGGTCATCCTGCAGTGGGGATAGGCTATCTGATCTACCATGAGAATAATAAATTTTACAATCAACAGAAAATAAAGATAAATACCACATTGGTGATTTCATTTATATATAATAGAAAAAGCAATGGTGCAATACAACTACCTTGGGGAACACAAGATTTAACAGGTTTTGTGTCAGAGAGAGTGTTGACGAGTACGGCTTGGTGACGGTCTTTTATGTAATTTGATACCCGGTTATAAAGGGCTCCTGTAATGCCATAACTATTAAGAGTGATCAATAATTTGCTATGACAGCATCAAAAGTTTTAGCCAAATCTAGATACACAACTGATACTATTTTACCACTGTCAATTGATGCAGACCAATCGAAAAAATTTGCCAATATTTGTGAAGAAGTGGATTTTTTTGCACAAAAGCCATGCTGATTAGGGGATATAAAATTACTGGCATCAAGATAAGTAACCAATTTGTTGCAAATCAACCTTCCGAGTACCTTGCTACCAACGCAAGTTAGGCTAATCTATAATTAGAAAGGTCACAGGTGTTTCCTTTTTTATGAATGGGAATTATATGAGACAACTTAAAAATTTTGGGATTAAAGCCAGATTTCATAATATCCTTATAAATTAGAAATAGGAGAAGACTCAGAGAGACTGCGCATTTTTTATAAATTATTTGTGGAATGTTATCGGTACCAGCTGAAATGGACGGCTTAAATCTATTTAAGGCATCATAAACATCCATTAGTGTTATTTCAATCTCGCAGAGAGAAGTGCAACAAATTCTATTTAAAACAAGAAGCATGAGTATCATCCTCAACAAATGCACTAGAAAGATATTGATAAATATACTTGCAATATCAATATCAGAGGTGATCACACTATCATTATGTTGCGGAATTAATCGTTTACGTGGATTTGAAAATTTTCTTTTGATGTAGGTCCAGAAAGAATTTCGATTGATATTTAAAATTTGCTCCTCTTTATTTGAAAAGTAATTATGAACGGCACCACGGAAACTTCTTAAACATTCTTTATATGTATGCAGAGGGGTTCACTTGGCAATTTGGTTAATTTGTATTTATTATAAAGCTTCTTGACACTTCTTTTAAGAGATTTTAAAAAAATGAGAATCGACTTAACGCTTTCTTTTCTTAGAGGGATAATATATATGATTCATTGCATTTTTTGACAATGTTCTTCATATCCATTACTTTAGATTTTTCTTTCGCTCTCGACAAGAATAGATATCGAGTTAGATAGCTGATTGATTATCTTTCTCATAGTTCATAATGACAATAAACAATCTGTAAACAATCTGATCTTTCTTTCAACAATTACCACTACCACAATTTATTTTCACTTTTTTTGATCCATAAAGAAAAATGATAATTCGAATTAGTGGTGGAGTAATAAGAAAAAAATTTGTGGAGTACAACAAAGCAAGAATATAGAATATGTATGTATAAATGACCAATATAATAAAGACCAAACAATTATGTCGTATGTGGCAGGACAATTCCAACAACCGACCACACATGGATATTTCTATTTTTAATATGGTTTTCTGATTCAAGCACTTTGGCCATTTTTACCATTTTTTCTGGAAATATAATGGATGATCTAAAAATACTCTTAATTATAAATATCCATAATATATTTTACATTATACGCATCAGTTACATAAATCAATGAAATAAATTTATTGCATAATGAAATATCTTAAATTGTCATGCCAAAAATTTTTTATTATTATGTAATATTCGATATTGTATAAAAGGAACAAAGGCAAAAGTTTTTTCAGATTTTAACAATATTCGTTTGGATTTGTAAATTTATGTTATTCTTTTTTTTTTCTTTTCTTTTTACTGCTTCTTATTATTCTTTTAGATCATTCAATTTTACTGCTTCTTTGTCAACTTTCCTTTGGAACAAAATTATTTATAAAATTTATTATTATTTATATAACTGAAGCACATAATTTGTTAGTATAAACGGAGGAAGAGAGCATGAAAATATAAGGCCAAAATAGGAATATATTTTTGAAACAACGATTTCATAAGTTTTATCTATAAAAAATACGTCTAGCAAACATATATATTATATAATAAATATAATATAAACATATAATAAATATTTTTGCTTATTCTTATAATTTCAGGAAAAGAGCAATAAAGAAGACAATGAAGCTGAGATTTTTGGAGAATAACTCAAATATCTGGGACAGTTCTCCTCAGTTTTGAAATGGACTTGAATAGGTGATTTAAATACAGAGAATTATGTCCTTAATTTGTTTTCTCATTGCATTGAATTTTTTTTGTTTCATGTTAATTATTCAGTAATATTCGTTAAATTAAGTACTCGCATAAAGTATAAGTGGAATAAAAATTTAAAAATAAAAATCTGCATACAAAGATAAAATTATGGCTAACAATTGCTAAAATTTATTAAACTGTTGCTGAAATTTTTTTATTTCACATAATCCCACTAGTCTTTCTTGAATTTCCATCGAGTGGAGCTTTTATAAAGCCTTCAGGTTATTTATTTAAATCATATATAATTATTCAACATGAAAATATTCACATGGAAATTTATTAATTCTTTGCGAAAACTTTAAATTTCTGTGATTGTCGTTGCGCTTAGATAAGCATTAATTGTGATGAGAACTTCGAAATTTCCCTAACAAAATTTGTCGTCTTTCTTCAAGCTTTGTGCCATGTAGTAACTGTTATCTTCGCTATATTCAATTTGCATTAGAATAATTAATCATCTAAATATCTCATGAAAACACTTGACTTAAATATCAAGAATATCAAATTCATGGCCTTCGAGATGAAAAAGTAAATATTTTAGCAAATAATAGGATTACCAAACAATAATATTTATTTGAATATCCATGTTGTAATCTCTTACATTCCTTGTTTTTATTACCTAATCACAGAGAAAAGTGTAAAAATACGAGATAAAAGATATGGGAAAAGCGGAAAATTTAAATGGATTTAAATTATCGAATTTAAATTGTAATACAAAATTCAACTTCAACTTTTTCTCTTTAGATTGCATTACCTTAATTTGATTTCAAATTTTGTTCCACTTCTTTTAGTATCAATGATTTTAACTTCTTAGATAATGGATTAAAGGATTAAAATCAAATATAGAATATAAAAAGTGGAGGAATATAATTTAATCAAATTTCATTACATTCTATAGCTTGCAGTTGTGCTGAGACTGATCTGCTATTTTCAACTGGCGATTATGTCGCATCCTAGTCACCTTAGAGGGGAATACGAGATAATGAGCGTTATTAGATGATATAGGATGAAAAAATGATTATTACGTGACTGGTATTCACAATTTTCGGTTGCTTTTATTCTTATCTTTAATATTGCTATCTTTTTATATTTATCTTTTTTTATCTTTTTCTCTTGTATTGATTTTATAAATAATACGGCATTATGCAGTTGTCCATGAATTATCCATGAACCTGAGAACTTGAGATAATACGGGAACCTGAAATGTTGGAAATTGAGGATTATCTATAGAACTGAAATCATTCGATTTCGACAATAAATTTTTTAGTTTTTAGTGTGAAATGCTTTTCTTCCGGTCATTGGTTATTAAATCTTTTTGAACAACTATGATCGTTTATTATTCATGCAAAACGAATGACTGCACAAATTAAAAATGAATGAAAGATATAGATATCTTAATAAATGCAATAATTGGCAGTTGTATATGAATATATATGAAAAAAGGCAATTTCCGGATTATAGAACGATAAACAACGAAAAAGACAAATCTACATGAAATGCACCATTTAGCTAACCTGAATTTCATTGATGTTTTTCTTTAAAACTTTTTTCTATCCCATACTTTGGTTGTAAAATCGTTAAAATTACCATTCAGTCTGTATTTTTACTATAGAAATAGTGGTTTAACATAATATTTCAACATCATAATCGACCACTACCTTGGCAGAAGCAAGCTTGCCAATAAAAATATGATACGTTTTTTGCTTCTATTCCTCTGGCGAAAGCATTTTGCCGATGATATTATTTATCCAGAAATGGTGAGTGATAAGTTAACAGCCAGTCAATAAATTGGACATATTTACGATAATTCTTTTATGGTTATGCGAATAATATTTAAGAAGTACAGATTTGGTTTTTTATAAACAGATTACTTTAGCTAGAAAATATGAAAAAATATAGCACAACACATCAATAGGACAACAATTGCATATGAAATATTTTTGAAAATATCCAAATTTTTTTCTCGAAAGTGTGAAATGCAACAAGATTTCAAGAAATAAATGTAGCACTTTTTTCCACAAAATAGACAAAAATGAGAGGATGGAAAATTCGCCAAATATATGATTATGATTCTCCTAACAGCTCTCATCATTACTGGTTAGGCTGGCTCCAACGGCTACAAGGGTAAGACACTTCCACAAATATATGATCATAAATAATAAATAATTTTATTTATACAAATTGTAATCATCACCAGTTTTCACCAATGTTACACGCGATAATTGCAGTTATTTTTTCAGATTCGGAGTAATGAAAAAAAAGGAATTAGTTGTTAGAACCTGATTTTCTTGACTGGTAGATTGCGTATATGGCTCGTGAGAAAATTGCAAATTCAGTTTTGGCCTGTATTCGATTATAAATGGTACTTGATTTCCCGAATTGAGTAATTGCTGCAAATAGTGAATGTATCGAGTTGCCTGACGAAGCGTTTCCACTTTACTGAGTTTTTTGTCTTTCGCTCCTGGCACTTTGCTTAACAATAATGCATAACCGAGGTTGACCTTAATTTAAACTCTATAAATAAAAGTGGAAGTTTTGCCTTCAGTCTACTAATGTCCTAAATCACCTTAATAAACCATTGCTTTATCTTTATTAACTCATTAATTTCATCAAAATTTCATCAAAATTTCAACTACAAAATTAGAAATCGACCTATTTTATCAATCATCTATCAAAGCTAACCTGATGAACTCGTTTCCTTTCTCTTTCATTCCTTCGTTCGACTTTCAGTGATTGTTTTTTTTGAAGGTTGCATTCAACATCGTTTTTTTTTGACTCCGTTGCTTTCATCCTCCCCTAAATTGCCACTGGCTACTTAATGACCTTATTATCCCATTTGTCTTATAGGCACGCACTAAAACCACGCCCCGCAAGTATCTTTTAAGCATGGCTTTTCTAAATTTAATAGAAGTGACCTAAATACAGCAAAATATTTGATTAAAGCTACTATGATGCGATTCGCTAGAAAGCCGCTTTTATTTTTGGATCATTGAATATATCTGTTGTTGAACCAACATTAGCTATAAAGCTCACTCGGACATCATCAGTTCTAGGAACACAATTGCGAAAAGCAATTTTTATCAGTAAAACAATATCCCTCATGTGTGAGGTATTTTAGCCGACGAATGAAGCAGTGTACGTTTCGCGCAGAAAAAAATTTTGTGATAAGATTAATAAAATAACTTTATAGAACAATATGATTGGCCGCTATTAGTAAATTCTTAATTGATACCATCTACCGACATACATTAACAGCAGGAATACTGTGCTATAAAAAATGCGGCAAAGATGCTCTCTAATAAAGACGAAAGCAATGCAAAGATAAGAAAACATCGACATGAAAAGAATTATATTTGCGACTATACTATAAAATGATCGGCTATTCCATAAAATCTTAAGAAAATCTTAAGAAAATTTTTAAAGGAATTATCATCAAATTTAGAGATTTGACAAAAAAATTTCTTTTCTAATTTATCAAATTAATTTCTAATATTTTTTAAACTAATATTTTTTAAAAGAGCGCTCACTATTTCTGGTTAGGCTGCCTCCACTGGTTTATCGAGCAGATTTTTCCAGGGAATCATTAGATAGCAGAAATCGCCAGCTTCGACCGGAGACAGGCTATTTTTGTTGAAAGTGGAACTTCGCCATAAGAAAAACAAAACATTTAAGCCTTTCTACCTTCAATTACTACTTATTCATTGTTTTTACTTATTCAATGACCTTAAGATTAAAGCCAACTTAACCAGTAAAAAATACAGAATTATCCGTCTTATGAAATTAAGATTTAAGGATTAAGGAAATAAGGATTTGGCATTGAAAATTAATCATTAATATTTAATATATATTTAATAGTGGTATCCCACAAAATACAGCACTAATAATAGTTTGGGCTTATTGCTAATTTTCACCTTAGAAAAAATAATGAAGCTCAATCTAAGACACCTGTTTCCTATAATTAATTATGGAAGGGTAATTTCATTTTTGACTTTTAATGTCTTATTGCGAAAACCGCTTCTAATCATTAAAGGTAATTTGCTGCGGGTTTCTTTTATTTTATTTTATAGGATTTCGACATAATTACGAGGTCACTGAGGTTAAATTCAAAATATTTTTCTTTCTAATAGTCTATGCTTTATGATTTTTGGCATTTCCTCATGTTCGATGTTACTTCAAGAAATCATTTCGTTAATTCAAAATACATTTTATAGAATTACAAGAAGTAATAATCTATATTTTATTTTGTTATTTTTGGCAATGTTTAGCCTAATTTACTTCGTTTGAAAATTCCATTTTTTTATGCAGCAAGCAAATACATTTCACTATGCAAACACATATGTCATCAATTACAAGCTGTTCAAGATCGTTGACTGTCCAAACAAACTGGACATGTTTCGCAGAAGCGGAGAGCTTTTTCAAGAAACAACGATCCTTTGGACTAATTAATTTTATTGTTGATGAAAAAGGGCTATGGATAATGCAGTTGTCATATTCGACCATAAATTTTTATTTTCATTGTATTGAGCTTCAAGTTTTTAGATGCATGACTTCATTCAGTTATGAAATGCTATAGATAATCTATGACCCTATGTACTTACACCGTAACGTATAGGATATAAGGTTAATCGAAGCGCTATCATATGATGCATAACTGGAACGAAGTTTCATCGAGAATCCTTCGAGAAGTTTTGTGAATAAATTTTGTCTCCCAGAAATATCAATATCAAATATCAATATCTTTTGGAATAACTTGCAAACAGTCACACAAAATATAGCCATTAATGAAATTCTGGTTTGCAATCTATCAAATAATATAAATTTACAATATTCCAATAAATAACTGATTTATAAAAATTATAAATTATATTATGAATTAAAAAATTATAAAAAAAATAAAAATTACTAGAAAGGCTTTTAAATTCGGATTTCCATTTTAAGCTTAATATTGAACTTGGATTACATTTCAGTACCTCACCACAGAGCGATACTATGTAATTTGTAATATAGAATTTGTCATCAAATCTCGATTATTATAAATAATCATCAAGCTAGATAGTTGACAAGTAAACTTCAATTTGATGAGGTCAATCCAATATGATTTATACAATCTTTTATTGGAGCAATTAGCGAAAGTAATAATCAAGAGTAAAAATTTAAGCTGCATATAATATAACTGCATAAATATATTTGAAATAACCACGAAATCCAAAATACAATGAAGAAATGGGAAGAAAAAGGTGTATATCAAGTGGTTATATCAAGGCCTGATAATATATTAAAGGCTTGATTAAATGTTGAATATTACAGCTCTAGAGTTTAATTTGATGTGGGAAAAACGTTAATGGCATATAAGACAAGATTTAAGTAGACAATGGAGAAAAGATGATTTCACCAAAATATTCGCAATTTGAAAGTATTAAAAGTACAATGAGGATAAAGAATATGAAAAAGAATAACGGAGGCATAATGGACTTCGAATGAATTTTAAAGTATATATATGCAAGAATTTCAGGAAGTATAGTTGGGGCCAAAGTTGTACGTTTTAAGTCCTTTTATCCACACATAAGCAGATAAACATTCATTAGCATTCATCTTTCTGATCAATAGTGAAGAAAACCAAAAAACATTGAACACTGAATATCAAAGAAAATCGACCAGAAAATTTAAGGATTAAAAGCGAAAAAACTCCACAAGTGAAAACAAAACAACTGGACTGAAGTGAGTAGAGAACGAGAATCCCTTAAGAATCCCTTCTCTTCTTAAGAAGTGATTCTTAGTTAAGCTGATATCTACTTTGGCTCGAAGTTCCATGAAATTTCTTTAGCCAACTAAGAAGCACAGATAAAAATGCTTCATCTTATATCGATTATTTCGTAATTCATCACTGCTTGACGAATAAAGAAAAAGGCAAAATGAAAAAACATCTTTATTTTACTGCATACATATGTCACCCATACATATCTGAATACTGATTAATTGCATCTCGTTAACGATTTATTGTCGAATATCCACCGAATATCCACAGTTAAATCACTTGTAGAAACTAAACTAATATTTTAACTTTTTTAGCAGCACCATTCTGCTTGACAGACAAGCAATGATGCAAGTGAAAGAAGAAGTACAAAGTACTAACGAGTTTTCTCTTTCAATGAGATTCCGTTAAGAGAACCTACGATGCTTTGATTTCCTCGAAGTAACGTGCCACTCAGATATCCATCAAAAAACTATGAATAGCAGAGATGCCAATTCTTCTTCACTACCTCAACTAGTGTGCACAAACGATAATTTTTTTGCCAACAAAACTAATGGTTTTAAGCAAGGCCATTTGGTTTCAATTTCAATCTCATAGAAAACAGATAACCGTAAAAAATATTCGATGATATTGCGGTAAATTATGGCGGCAAGTTTTTCATGTTTCGCGCAATTACATCGTAGAAAAACAATGATTTACTTAATTCTAATTATTTGCATTTAATGAAGCCATCAAATGCTATCCATTCGTTAACTTGTTGACTTGAGACGGCGGTTGGACTTTTATCTAGTATTGCTTAAAAGATTCTGAAGGTCATCCACTGCCATTAACCATCAATAATCTTTGGATTAATTTTACAAATTGCTTTCATTCTAGGATCATTTCGATTATTAACATAAATCGCTTTCTTTTTTTAAGAAAATTAAATTTGCAGAACAACACTTCAGGGAAAAATTTTTGCTATTTTGGGGAAAGTAATTCGCTTGCAGGGAAATTTTTTGTAGAGCATTTAGAATCATTTCATGTAATTATAATCATAACATTTCGAAAATTTTAATATTTTAACAATTTGCTACAAAAACATCACCTCACTGTAAAAAAATAAATAATGAAATAAAAAATCCAATCTCTGAAAAAATTTGCAATTTTTTAAAAATGACATTCGCCAAAAACACTCATAGCATTTGCTAATAAGAGTTCATTGAAATCCTGGCTTTAAATTGAACCATAGAGTTCTTGCCGTTAATCAATGAAATTTAACACCATTAGGTGATTCGAAATATGAAAGTCTGCGACCAAAAATTTTTTCATTGCGCTGCATAATAATAACCACAATAATCCCATTTCAGACTGTTTCTAATTCTATGGAATTAAAATGGTAATTTGGCAACAAAAAAAAATTATGTATGAAAACAAACATAGCTTTAATGGTAGGATCAGATTGCACACGAAAGGCACTACACTAAATGTCAACTTAGGTATAAAATATTGCATAAATATTTTTTATTCATTCGTTATTTTTGTAAATTTACATTGTTTCCAAAGAAAAAAGAACGTGCAAGTTTGCACTGAAATATCTTAAATGTTATATTTGCAATGAAAAAAATATTTTTTTGTAGTTTTTCTTCTTAAAAAAATTTTTTCTAAATTGATGAAAGATTGCTGAAAATCTTTGCAGTTAAATAAGATAAACAGGCAAAATTTCGAAAATTTTCTGGTAAAATGGAAAAAAAAATTTAACACAACAGATAAAAAATAAAAAAAATTAACAAATATTCTTTTGTTTTCTTTAAAAAATTAAAAATTTCTAAGAATTTCTTTTATTAAATTAGTACTTTGCGTGGAAGTTTAAAACCAATATTTGAATTCGATGATTCTATTGTATTTCGTTTTATTATCCATTATCATTTTATTACTTTAAATCATAAAATATAAATAAGATTTGTATGAAAAGTTGCATAGAATTTTGTTTGACCCCTGGCGATAGAGCGATATGCTTCAGAGCACCTGCTCACCAATTCGTTACCCAATCTCATGA